TCTCAGGCTTCTCTCTGGAGCTCTAGTAACAACAGGTCGGTGAGCCAATCAGAAGAGAGGAGGCTCTGAGCCTCTCTTCTTATTGGCTGATTGTTTTCTGAGTGATCAAATAAAAATAAAGCAGATTTCAGCTAAAAACACTTAGAGAAACTAAATCCTGCAAGGTTTGGATGGTGGGTCCAGGTGGGCGGGGCTTGGGCGGGGCTGAGGATGGTGGCTGCTTTGTTGTGACATCACAAAGTTACAGGAAGTCCTGACGGCTGGTTTTAAGGCTCAGTTTCTGAATACAGGCTGTGTGCATTTCTCTGTGGACTGAGGCTTTGATACTTTCACAGTATTAATATAGAAGCTAGACCTGATCTATAATCACACTACACATCTACCTTTAGACTATATGGGATCTTTAAACATCAATATAATTAAGTGCTAAGTCGACATCTACAGTCTTCACTTGTGTAAACGGATGTAAACTTTTTTGGCCTTTTCGTAAAATTAACTTCACATGAAACTTCCTTTTTGATATGTGATGTTGGAAGTACTGATAACTATCACTGGAGTTCTGCGATACTGAAGAAAACTTAAAAATGAGATGTTTCGCAGGCACTTTCTGCAGCTTTCCACTTTTCAAAAAGTTTTGTTTCTGGTTGTCGTGTCCATGTTCGAGTTGTGTTTGTTTTTAAGTGAATGTTTGAATAAGTGTCTTGTTATAAGTGTTGTGTATGATTTGTGACAGAATAAAAACCAAACCAAGTGGGAAAAAAATATGTATTCCTGTAACTTTGGTGACATAACAGAAAACAAAAATGTGTTTGTGATTAAACACCTGTATCTAACATGTGCTTTCCCATGTGTGTGCAGCAGTATCGGAGCTCTTATCAGTGTCCACACCAGCCTGGGTTATGTATCATTATTATGCGAGTGTGACAGGTTTCATAATCACAGCGTAATAAATCTACAGCTCCAGACAGCCCTGACCATTACCCACCATTGTTTAACCACAACATTATGTAATGGTCTGCATCAGCAGCTGGTTCTGCCTCTGCACGACGACTTGACATGAAAAACACAGTCAACCTCAGTGACTTCACAATCCCTCTCTCCACACACGCTCCTTGCATATAGATTGAACATTAAGATACTAAGTCGTGGCCTTGTAAGGCAGCGAGTTCCAGAAATTATGGCGTGCTTCACTCCGGTGTCAGAGGATGAAACTATAACGCAGAGGAGGAGGATACAAGGTCTCATAGAAAATGTGTGCAGGAGGTTTTTAAAAACAACTTATAAAAGTATTACTAATTGTTATAGTGTCCTGTTTTTATCATCAGTGGACAAGAAATTAAAACAGCAGATGAATTTTACTGTTTTATTCTAAAAGAAAAAAGCAATTGGCAAAATTTTTGCAAAATAACTGTTGTGTCCAATTCTCTATTAGCAGTTCCTGCTTGCCATTTGCAATTAGATGTACAGAAAACTATCAATTAATTACTTTGATACTAAATCCGACTTAAAAACTTGATGATTCTCAGGCAAGTTCAGGAGTTATAAAGAGCATCTTTTCTCTGTGGTTCCTAAGTGGAATTGTGGATGTTTATCTGATAGTGAATAAGATTATTTCCCAAAATGTGGAAGTTTTGCTTGGAAAGTTTGTGTAGAGAGAAACTAAAACAATTTTCTTAAGTAAAAAAAAAAAGAGGAGGCTACTTAAACCCTATTCAGACAGAATTAACATCAGAGAGGGAGGTGAGAAATTAAATATTCATAGCGCTCCCCGATAATTTAACTCATCGTTCTGAGCGACATTTTAACCATGAGGAAATTACAGGATATGATGTGTAATAGACGTGGACATTCAGCTGGACAAAGATAAAACAGAAAGGACAAAAGAGGTGAAGGAGAGGCGAAGATGCTGCATGAGGTGAATTTGAATCAAAAATCACTCTCCTTCTCAGAGTCACAACTCGAACCTGAACACACACACACACACACACACACATATTGATGCCATTCAGTGTGAGTTACACTTTCTGAGGATATCATTGCCTCTGATGTCTGGTTGAAATAAGATGCTTAAAAGACAATTCAGAACTTGCCCGAGAATCGTCACATTTTTAAGTTTTCTTCAGTATCACATTCATCCAGTGATAGTTGTCTGTGAATCCATGCGTCCACTGCAAACAGGCGCTGCTAATAGCTAATTCGGCTACTTTCAATGGCGCCAATTTGGTAAAAAGACACTAAAGAAGTACCACGACCTGCATGCACCTGAGACTACAGCTGCGCATTAGTTGATATTTTAAAGGGTCTTCCTCTCCTGATGGCTTTAATTTTTCCTGTCAGACCAAATAGACCTATATGTTGGTGTTATTAGGAGAAACGTTTTTAAAATCATCTAATTTCACACTGAGCAGATAAAAAAGAGAAGTAGTCATTAAAATACAAGGCTGCCGCTCTGGACGAGATTTCAAATAGAGGAGGAAAAGCGAGTTCACAGAAAAACGGTGGCTGCAATTATTCCTGGAGCGGAGGTTAAATATTACCTACATACGTGCTCCTGACAGGATTAAAATCACTGACCACTGCAGGTAATAAAATCACCCCACCTCCCCTATAGGAACATAAGTCCAGTCTGAATGGAGCTTTAGTCTCGGCCCCTGTTGACAGTGACAGAACTGTGAAGTTTTTGTGACTCTGTTGGAGCTAAACTCTTTAATTTAGACTCAAGTCACACAAACACAACAAGAGAAGACGACAGATTTAAAGTCCCCATTATTCATGTAAAATTAAGTCACAGATTTGTTGTGAGGTTTGTTTGGACTTTAAGGAATTCACTGAGGCGAAGGACAAAAGATAAGACTGTTTGAAGAATGTGGGGAGGAGAGAACTTCAGCAGGTTGTTGTTGTTGTTGTTGTTGTTGTGAAACCTGTGTGTGTGGAGTTTTGAAGAGAAGCTGTAACTTTGAGACTTCGTGTATCTGCCCGCAGGAAGTTTTCCACTCATGTCCGAGCGAGGCAGCAGTCAATGCTGAGAAAACAAGCGCTGTGTCTGAGGTTATCGGGTTATCGCCACATAAACACATTAATGCTGCACAGACTCACTCAAGCCCCTCCTACACACACACACACACACACACACACACACACACACACACACACACACACACACACACACACACACACACACACACACACACACACACACAGAGAGATGGCGTCATGGTCAGAATAAATGGAAGGTTAAATCAATATTCACGTGAGGGGAGGGCGGGTGTTAATTGGATGCTAATTAGAAGTATTCTGGGAAATGTTCCACAGGAAATTATTATTTGATCAATCAATCAGCTGACAGAGAAATAATCCCATCAGCCTGTTAAATGTGAGGATTTGTAAGTTTAATATCTTTTGTTTTTGGATTCTCGGACAAAACATTTAAAACACATCAGCTTAAGATTTCTGACATTTAAACGAATGATCTTTTTATGAGGAAAGATGCAGTTCAAACAAATGGCAGCGAGGGAAAGGGGTGGGTTGTGGGTAATTTTTCATATATTCAGCCGGCTCTTTTCAGCTTCTTCCTCTGCAGCAGTGTGACCTGCGACCTGGACAGAGTCTGGACAGGATGTGAGAGCGTTCATAAATGCTGCTGGTGCCACATGCACTGTTATCTTATCTATTAATAATGAGTACGAATCTGCGTGTAATGCAGATTCAACATGTTCTTTATCTGGAACAACTTGTACAAACTTTCTTTACATAAAGATTCAAATGCTATTTCCTGGGAAATTGGTCTAAGTGTTGAAAATACCTTTTAGATAAAGTGATAAAAAATGACCCCTGGATCCGTCCCTTTAGCCGGATCTGTACCAAAATGTAATGGATTCTTCCTTGGTCCATCCCCCATATCGCCACCAAGTTTGGTCCAAATCAGTTCAGCACTTTTTGCGTAATCCTGCGTAACCCGTATATTATATCTCTAATATTTGCACCTAAATTTCATAGTGATCCATCCAGTTGTTGTCGAGATCAGTCCTTCTGTCATTTTGGTTGATAGAAACTTTTTCTGGTCTGATTTGATGGAGGAGATAAGCTGGATTTTCAAAGTAAATTAACCTAAAAAGTGACGCCGACTAGAGCTGAAATGATTAGTGAGTTAATTAATAGACAGAAAATTAATTTTAGCAAGAATGCATTAATTATCTGTTAACCGTTTTTCAGGCAAAATCACAAAAAGATTCTGATGTCAGTTTCTCTAATCTGAGAGTTTCCTGGTTTTCTCTTGTTTGTTTTGGTAAAATTAATACCTTTAAGGTTTTGGACTGTTGCTTGAACAAAACAAGACATTTGAACACGTCACCTTGGAAACTGGGATGAATTTAAAATCCTGAAATGGAAAATAAAGAAGCTTAAATGCAAAAGCTTGAGGCTTAAGCAGAAATGAAAACATTAATTCTCCTCCCTCCTTTGTGCATCCACTCTTTTCTTTTCCATTTGCCTTCTAACAATTTCCATTCTAATTTCAATTCTGGGTAAAATCATCCTCCATAATTTTCCATGAAAAAACAAAAACTAAACATTTTTTTTTCTAGCCACATATTCAGCAGACTACACTTCATCTTGTTGTTTAGAGGGTGGGAGGGAAGAGAAAGTGTGTGTGTTGGGTTGGGGTGAATGTATGTGTGTGTTGAGAGTGTGCTGGGGGGGGGTGAGGGGGGGGCTGGTGTCTGGTGTCTGGTCTGGCCACTGGGGCAGGAGCCTTTAAAAGAGGCTGGATCTGCAGCAGTGCAGCTCGGATCCACACCAGGAGTTGTTGTGTGTCACGGTGGAAAAACTCTTTTGGACATTTTGTTAGTTTTTTTTTTATTTCGGACCAGTTCACTCTCCACCCGGTGATCGTCTCGCGCACGCTGGAGTAAACGGGGAGTTTGACAGCCACGGTCTCAGCTGGTGACGGTTACGCACAGGCGGGCAGCCACCTCTGTGCGCCCGGAGGAGAGGCGGCCACCATGCTCTTCCCCTCGGAGAGCTCCTGCAACATCACGGGCAGAAACTGCACGGAGGGGTTCAACTTGACGCAGCAGCTGGAGGCCGGTGCCGCCGGTGCCGCCGGTGCCGCCGCCGCTGCCGCCGCTGGGAACATCAGCGGGAGGAGAAACGCCACCGACCCGTTTGGACGGAACGAGGAGGTGGCCAAGATCGAGATCACCGTCCTGAGCCTCGCGTTTCTCGCGGCCGTGGTGGGGAACGTGAGCGTACTGCTGGCCATGTACAAAACCCGGAGGAAACCGTCGCGCATGCACCTGTTCATGAAGCACCTGAGCCTCGCGGACCTGGTGGTGGCTTTCTTCCAGGTGCTGCCGCAGCTCTGCTGGGAGATCACCTTCCGCTTCTACGGGCCGGACTTTCTGTGCCGCATCGTGAAGCACCTGCAGGTGCTGGGCATGTTCGCCTCCACCTACATGATGGTGATGATGACCCTGGACCGCTACATCGCCATCTGCCACCCGCTGCAGACTCTCCAGCAGCCCACGCAGCGCGCGTACATCATGATCGGCTCCACCTGGGCGTGCAGCCTGGTCCTCAGCACCCCGCAGTACTTCATCTTCTCCCTGAGCGAGGTGCACCCCGGCTCGGCCGTCTACGACTGCTGGGGACACTTCATGGAGCCGTGGGGGCTGCGCGCGTACATCACCTGGTTCACGGCCGGGATCTTCCTCGTGCCAGTGGTCGTGCTCGTGCTGTGCTACGGATTCATCTGCCGCACGATCTGGAGGAACCTCAAACACAAGACCCGGAGGAAGAGCGTGGGCGCGGTGGCAGAGGCCACCAAGAACGGGATCCTGGGCAGGAACTCGGTCAGCAGCGTCAGCACCATCTCCCGCGCCAAATTACGCACGGTGAAGATGACTTTCGTGATCGTGGTGGCGTATGTGGTGTGCTGGGCGCCGTTCTTCACCGTGCAGATGTGGTCAGTGTGGGACGAGACCTTCTCTTGGGACGGTGAGTTTTCCCGCCCTGTGTCCGTTTACACCTCACAGAACCCATTCATGTAGTAGCTCCAGTGTTTCTGGTGCCATGCGCGTCCTCCTCCCGCCCCTCCTCACGCAGTAGTCTTTATCAGGGGAAACACACACAGACTTTCACATAAAGCACGGTAAGGTCTGAGCTGTCATCAATTTAACTAAAGAGTGTTTCAAGTTGATTCATTTCAGTTGATTCTAAAGTCCCGGGGGGGGGGAATAATCATCCAGTATTTCACAAGAAAAATCTAAAAATGTTTTCCGGGAAAAAGGATGATTTTGTTTTTACTTCATCCACAGGTGTGGTGATAACAGACACAGACACCTGAGTTCACTCCAATCAGGAGGAAAAGATGTGGGTCCACCACTTTGATCCAGGCTGAAATGTTGCGTCAACAAATCTCCATGAATGTTCACACAGGGTGTCATCTACAGGTCTTCAAAAGTCTTAAAAGGGAAAAAAAATTCAAAATAAAAGGCCTTAGAAGTTATTTAAAAGTCTTAAATCTCAGTTATGGTCAGTTACTAAAGATATAATGTTTATTGTTCAATACCCCCAGCTTTAGGTTACGTTTATACATGATTTTTTTAATCTTTATTCGTTTTCTGCTGCTCTTGCAGGTCCAGTTTGTGTTTAATGATTAGGCTACTCAGTGACATTATTAACTGTTATTGTAATAAACAGCTGGGAAGTACTGACAGAAATTTAAATAAATTCATGCACATTTTCAGAGCGGTATGACCATGAAACAGGGATTAAACCGCTCTCTATTCCATAGTAAAAAGTGTTAAAGGTTTAACTTTGTGAACCCTGCAGCTAACATTCACTAATTAGCACCAATTTAAACAGAAAGTGCAGCTGAGGCTGATGGGATATCGTTAGTTCTGAAGGTACAAAATGCAGTTTCCATCTCAACTTTCCAAACTATTAAAAGACCCCCTCTGATGAAAATCAGTGTTCATAAAAACAGATTCAGACAGCCAGGGTTTCATACATCACAAACCTAAGGAACCAATCCCGTCAGTTTGTGGGGACGTGGGGCGGGGCTAAATAAACCCCAAACCTAGTCAGTACAGATAGTGAGAGTTTGCATCAGCACAGCTGCTAACACCGAGTCAGACACCGCCAGTTACAAGCTAACTAACAACCTGAACAAATAAAAGACGCTAACTGTGCTAACTGTTCTGATCCGTGCGCTAGTCTCTGATTCTGGTCTCAACGGACTCCTCATCTGAGTCTGGGTCTGACTGAGGCTCAAACATGTGGCTGAGTCTATCTGATGTTTCCGCTAATGCTAACTATCTTGATACGCACTGCTCTTTCACCGGGAGTTTGCATTAGCACAGCCGCTAACACTCTGTCAGCCACTGCCAGTTACAAACTAACACACAACATGAACAAATAAAAGACGCTAACTACGCTAACTGTTCTGATTCATTGATCTGATCTTTCCTCCTCTCGCCATTTTGATACCAACTGCTCTTTCACCTTTGAACCTAGCGTATGCAGCGTGGTAAAAGGAAGAGTAGATGAGCTTCCAGACCCAGTTTGTTTTATGTTTTGTTTTTTTACTTTTTATGTGGGAAAACCGTGTTAAACAAAATATTAATCATAGCATTTAGTATTTTGACATAAACTGGAGAGAAACTTTAATTAAAAAGCAGGTGAATAGGTGTGGACAATCAATCTGCAAAAGTGCATCACCTTAGTTGGACAATATTTGAATGTGTCATAACACTTACTGGCCAAGTTTGAGTTTTAATTAAAAGACAAATATCTTACTAATTTATCTCTGGAATAATTTCCTCGTGTTTCAAGGTGACTCTGAAAAGTGGAAATACTTTAAACTGTCCACAGAATAAACATTTTACATTTCATTAAACCCCAGGCGTGTGCAGTCAGTGTAGTGTGATTTCCATATGATGGAGGTGAGGATATAAATTTTACTTTCCAGCCTCAGAGTCTGTTGAAAACTTGCCGTGGTCAGACTGAGGCAGCTGCTCACCCGCCTGAAGAATTTCATTTCAAAGGGAGTTTTGCTGATCCCTGATAGGCTACGTGCTGCTTTCACAATTTTTTATTTTTTTCCCCGAACCTGACGGGAATACTTTTTCAGAGGAACATCGAATTCTCGTCCTTGTTTGGCATAAAGACAGTCAAAATGCAGCAGCAGCAACAGCAGCTTTGATCCAAAAAATTGAAAAGTAATGGTCCACAGCATTCCTCTCTCTGTTTGCAGTTTCCCAGGGCGGAGCTCTGATCTTTAACCCACACAACCGTGACAATTCAAAAATTACAGCTGCTATCAGGATGTTGAATTTAGTCAACATCAGTTTAAAGTATGCAGTTTTAAACCTTTGAGATGCTGAAGTTTAGATGTAAAGTCGAAAAGGTTTTGCTTTGGTGGCTAGGAGAAGAATCTGCAGTGTTGTTCAAAACTTTCTAAATCCAGGGGCGTCTCAGATAAAGAAAAGCTGAAAATAGTAAGTTAACAAAGTCAAAAAAAGTAACAGGGGAATCAAACTGCAGCCCGCTCGGTCAGTGGTTCTCAAAGTGGCGTTCATGGAGCGTCCTTGAGGGGGGCTCCTGGGGGTTTTCACTATAATTCCATGCATAAGTAACACAGTGACAGAATATATATATATATATATATGTATATATGTTTTGGTAATGGGTTTCAAACACTTCCTGTAATAAAAAATAAAAAGGAAAAATCTTATTGGACGGAGGACTCTGGGACAAAATCAAATCAAATCAGATCGGGGTCCTTGATGTGGAAAAGGTTGAGAACCACTAATCCACCACGACAATCTGCTCTGATGGGGACTTTGCCCGTCTTCATACTACCTTCTGCCGCAGAGCCTTTCAGGCAGACGGTAGTGTAGACAGAGAGCTCTCTGGCAGGAAGCCATGTGCGACAGCAGCCTGTTGTCTGCTGACGTGTATGGGCTGGGCCTGAATCGTGGTTTTGAAGTCACTGTGAACTTTTCTGTATTAAATCACAATCTTTCCTTAAACCTAACCCAGTGTTTTTGTTGCCTAAACCACAGACAGGAACTCAGGATGTGGTCTCAGGTCTCTGGTGTGACAGTCGCCCAACATCCAAACACAAAAACCTCCTGGTGTCTCTGCTGCTGTTCATGAATGTCGCCTCATTCATTCAAAAAGTTCACTGAATCTGCATGTTGAAAGGATCCTTACAAGGCATCTGTGGGCAACAAGATAGGAGCAAGAATGTATTGTGCTCAGTGACAGATGTTTCCACAGCTGGAGAACCAATCCGAGCCAATCAGAGCTTTGTAGGCAGGATTAATACAGTGACACTGGCTCATCCATGTGAAACAGGTGGAGGCCTGAAGCTTGGACACAGTGACTTCTCGAGGGGCTGGATGGTGAGCTAAAGATAAAAATGAAATGCTTGTTGTGACGAACGATTTAAAATTCATAGTTTCAGCGTCAAGACTTAATAGACTTGTGCAGCGTGTGAAATACTTCCTGATAATCAGGAGGTCCTGTGCAGCGGACGATGAAAAAGAAAAGAAAGGTCCTATAAGCCTATAATCTAGTTCCGTTTGCAGCAGAAAAATAAGAAAAATGTAATTAAAACGTAGCATGATTGCAAAATGACAAAATGCCCGGACACGTTTACAGTTTTGCAAACCCGCCGCGCATCTGTAAAGCTCAACATCAGCATCAGCCTTTTACCTGCAATTATCCTTAAATCAATCCTGGACCGGAACCACCAGGCCCCACGCAGCACGACAACACTCCTGACCCGACCGAGTAGGACAATCAAACCTGCTCCGAGCTGCTGCTGCTGCTGCTGCTGGACAGAACTGGTGAAAGCTGTGTGGGCGCACGACAAGGAACTAAATGAATAGTAATAAAAAAAATAGATAAATAAATAAAAAGCAGAGAGAAGGCAGAAACACTTTACGCAATTTCAGATTATTTCCACCTGTGTTTCAGACACACACACACACACACACACACAGAAACACACACCTCTCCACAACCTTGGATATCTGCATTAATCATCCTCTTGACACGACTCTGGGATTTAACCGTTAACCGACCTTGTGAGCTCGTCACTGGGGAAAACTCAGTTCATACAGTGAGTTCATTTGTACAACAGTTGCACATGAATTCACATTATTGCGTTTGGAGGTTTAAGGACTATTTGGATAAAGAAATATATAATTGGGATTTTCATACGAGGAGCCACAGAGTTCAGGATATATGATTCCAGCTGCTTGTTCACGGTGGGATTCTCCGTGATGTGTTTCAATATTTAAACGTGAAAATACATTTTACAAAAGTTTAGATAAAACGAAAATAATACACTTTCAAGACGACCTGAAACCCAGCAGCTCGTCAATGCTCAGTAGCAGGTGTGACGGCTGCAGCCCTACAGTGAACACCAAGGTAAATTTTTACCAGCAGAAGGGACACAATCTCAAGTTCGCAAGAGGGGATCAAAAACTGATAAATAACCATTAATATTTCTAATGCTAGAGTGTAAGTGTAATTAAAATTTTATATCCTGTCATCGTTTTTTTTTACGTAGATGTACGTGTGCAGCTCTGTGACCTGACTTTATCTGCCGTCAGCGAAGCCTGTAACGCGACTGATCGGGACCGATGCGCAGGGTATTTTTTCTGCTGCTTTCATGCGTTTTGTGCGACTGTGTGTAATTATTGTGCGGTCAGATCAGCCGTTCTCAACGACTGCACCTCCTGACAGCACATCCAGTTCAGCAGCGATTTTTCAGGCCTAAAATTCTTACTACATATTAGTGTTAGCAGTAGTTTTCTTTTTCCTTGTAAGATTTGGTATAAGAGGCAGGGGTAGCTTGATAAGTCGACCCCGCCAGCAGCTGCAGTGTCCGTCTGTCTGCAGCTTTTTTCTGAGTAAAATCCAAGATGTGAATCCACTGATTCCACCAGAGGCTCAAACACATGTAGCAGGCTGCAGCACCGGAGAAAATAAACCCCCTCAGATCAGCTGCTAACACCTCAGAGTCACTGCCTCTCTCTCTCTGTTTCCCCTGCAGACTCTGAGAGCACCACCGTGACGCTCTCCGCCCTGCTGGCCAGCCTCAACAGCTGCTGCAACCCCTGGATCTACATGATCTTCAGCGGCCACCTCCTCTCGGACTTCGCCGGCAGCCTGCCGTGCTGCCGCCGGCTGAGGAACAAGTTCGGCCAACCCCAGGACTCGGACAGCAGCTTCCGCCGGACCACGCTGCTGTCCCGCCTGCAGGGGCCGCGCCTTTCCGATCCGTTCAGAGACCTGAACCACATCCCTAAAAACTGTCCGCAGGTCCCGTCTGCATCCTGACCGCCGGGAACACCGCCTTTATGTGTGTGCATCTGCTTGGCTAAGACGACACGGGAAACATGAACTGGTTTAATCTGCTGGTTTCTAGCAGTGGAGGAAGGTGTGATCTCACCTGAGGGTGCGTTCACACCCACAGTTTCTCCTCTTTGGTCCGATCCAGAGTGGAAAAGTTTACTGCGTGGTTGTTTTTGATGTTGGGTCTGTTAAGGTTCACACTGCTGTTAGAAACAGAGTTTTAACAACTCTTCAGTCTGTCAGGTTAAACTTCAGCTGTTAGCATGGTGGTCTTGTCTGTGCTCTTTGCTGTAATTAAATGTCAAAACATATGAAAAATGGCTGATTATGAGCATCTGCTGACTCTCATATGTCAACATACATACATGTCTTTAAGGGGGTTGTTTCCTGTATATATTAAGATTACAGTCTGACTCCTAGAAGAGGAAACAGACCATCAGCTGTTCGAGTGGAGGCGCTCTACAAACCGGGGCTACAGGAGTGAATAAAAACTTTACAGTGAGAATAAACTCTCCCATATCTGGTCTGAATGCACCAAAATGTGATGTTGTGTACGAACTACAGTAAGCATGCCTGTGGAAAAACATTTAATGAACAATTCTGTGTATGTGCTTGGAGATGTGTTATGATTTTTAATGTGTGAGGCAAGTTTACAAAGTTAACGTTTAAGAGATTTAAAGGATGATTCCCGTGTTACTTTACTGTAATCTCATTCATCTGCAAACCCCATGTGTTGTTCATCCTGCCACTGCTTCCTACTGAAAACATAACGCTAAAAAAAAAAAGACTTCACAAATATGTAGTTTCACTTTTCAAAAAAAAAAAAAAAAAAGGCTCAGTAAAGCTGGTCGCTGTAGTTTTTAACAAACAGTAGGAAACAGAGGTAGAAATAGAGTTGGGGACTATTTTCTGTGGCGGATTAATCCACATTTGGTGCTCTCGTGAGTATTTGTGGCATCAAAACGGGGTGTGTGTGTGTGTGTGTGTGTGTGTCGACTGAGTCAGAATAAACTACAGTGTGTGTGTTCGTGTTAATGAAGGAACACGTCACTGAGCTCTATGGCTCCGAGGAATAAGACACTTCAGGCTTTGGCTACTTCAATCAATGTGTGTTTTCACAGTAAGATAAATGTAGAATATCATCAGCTAAACAGTAAAGTTATTTTCTTGAAATAATCCCTTGTATTTTTTGACATAAGGTGATGAGTTATTCACTGTTGGAGCCATCGACACGAGTCCTCTAACTCCTGCTCTGGTCGTTTTAGCAGCACTTCAGTGTGATTCAGCAGGTGAAACACGCCTCAAATGAGCTGCTGTAGGATGTAAATCTGCGCCTGAGTGACCTCCCTTCATTATCTCTAAAGATGCCGTGAACGTGTGAGCAAACAGCCGGTTATTTCCACATCCAGCTGCTACAGAGTGATGCGATCGCTCGTGTGTGGAGTGGCGTTTGTGTCACCTGATGAATCTAAACCCAGTATTTCCTCTCTTTTTTAGCTCTGTGTTTGGTCTCCACCAGCTCCTGAGGGAAATATCTGGCTCGTTATGAGAGCGGTGAGAGTGATTTAATTAATGTTTAACATAAAAACAATCCTCCCAAGATTGCAGCTCATTTACTGTTGTTCATGTCGGTCGACCGGACCGGACCGGACCGGACCGGACCGGGTCTCTTCTTTACAGGACCGACGGTCACTAACTGATATTGTCTTATGTCAAACTATCCAAACACATTTCTTTACATTTGCAGCATCACACACACATACACATACACGTCACTCCACGTGTGAAAGGTACTAAAGGTACTCGGGTTATATAGGAGTTATTTTTAATATCAGTTACTCTGCCAGTTCATTTTTCTCAATTGTTATTGATCAATTGTTTCATCTTAAAAAGTAAAAGTAAATCAATCCAACACGTTCATTTTCAGTCCAAACGCCACAGAAATATTCAGTTTACTGTCAGAGAGGCAGTGGTGGAAAGTAACTGACAGTGTTGTACTACTCCATGCCACTACTACTACAACCTCATTCTACTTCACATTTCAGAGGGAAATATTTTACTTTTTACTGCACTACATTTATTTTTACAAACACAACAATGATCAGATCATAAAATATGATGCATTATAACAGATTACACTGCAAAAAGTATGTTTTTAGGAACACTTTGATCATATTAAATGTAAGTTTATAAATATATTATAAATATAACACTGTGTACTTTTACTTTTGATACTTAAAGTATGTTTTGCTGCTAATTCTTCTGTACCTTTGAGTAATTTTTTTGATGTGGGACTTGTGTAATTGAGTATTTCTATAATGCAGTACTGTTAATTTTACTTCTTCCAACATAGAGACAAAAGAAAAAACTGGAACCTCAGAAATTTGGGTCATTTAAAAAAAAAAAACACACAACTTTAACAATTAAAGTGTTATCAGAATTGTTGCAGATTAATTTCCTGTCCATCCACCAGATTAATCACCTCTGAAAGGTGCACGACTTCCTCAATATACCATGTTAGATTTGAAATGAAGTAACTGAAGTAATTTGAAACTTAATTATTTTTACAGCCACACTAAAGTCATGTGAGCTTACTCAGTCTCTTCCACTGTTAAATGGATGAGAGTGATAAAGATAACAAATGTAATGTACGTTAATGATAATTAAAACTGCACTGCGTTTTAATTTAGACTATATTAACCCAGTGAAGATGCATCTATTGGTTTATAATGTTCACACACACACACACACACACACACACACACTCTTGTACTGCTCTGCATTGGGGTCTGTGATAGATGTTGTTGTTGTTGTTGGTGTAAAGACGTTTTATTAATGTAATGTATTCTGTCATCTGTATATTGTTGGATTATATATATTGCACATGTTGTAAAGAAAGATAAATGTTAATTCCTTGTATCCTCATATGACGTCTGACTATTTTCTTCTTCTCTCTGACCGCACAGAAACACGTCACACAGGTAACAGGAGGTTTACAGGTGACGTGACACAGCTGCTCTGACTTTTCCTCTAGCGCCAAATAATCAGTTTGTCCTATATTTTGCTTTATGACTAAATACATGAAAAACTAATGACTCTCTAGGGCTGCAACTAAAGATTAGTTTCATTAACTACTAATCTGATTAATTAATCAATCGTTTAGTTTATAAAATGTAAAATAAAAGAACATGCTTTGATTTGCTTGTTTTGTTTGACCAACACGATCCAAAGATGTTTAATTAACTGTCATATATGATAAAGAAAATTAGAAAATTCTGATTCATTTTTTTGTGCGTTTATTAAGACACATATGAGACATGTTGTGGCAAGACAGGGAAACAATATAAAGGGCAAAGAGCAACAGTGCTGAACAACATGGTTGCAGTTTATCTGTTGCTAAAGTAGTTAGCTACAAAGCTAACTAATGCCATGGCTTGTCAGTGGAAGACAGCTGATGCCATTATCGCATATCGTTCAGCTCATTCTCCCTAAATGACGTAATGTTAAATATATCCACGACTCGCTTCTCAGTTTAGTTATAGTTGGAGCGTCGGAAAGACATGTTGTTTTTACTGATTATATTTTACTGGTAGTTTGTCTTTAAGGTTTAAAACTATTTTCAGAATTAACGCTAACCCCGTTTAGCTAACGTCTGACCACCACGTTTCAAAGCAGCTGCTAGAACTGCTAATATTAGAGGCATCATTAGTCCAGTGGAAAAACACTAGAAATAAACGTGTGCATGTTTCAGTCACTATCAGTCTACTGCATCATTAAAGGGCTTTCAAAGACTGACGTGTACAGTGGTTGGAAAATGCTTTCCTGCTTGCATCATATAGATTAAAATAAACGAGTTTTGGTAAATGGATAAACTCGACCAATTAAGACATTAAAATTAATCACTGTGACAGAATAAAACATTAATTTAACCCAAAAACGATCTTCTAATTAGCTTTTGTCTATAAAGAGGAACCTTTTCAATTATAATGAACGACAACAGTAACAACTTATCATTTTATATCACACAACTGTAATATATTTGTGTTATCGTTCAAGTTTACTTTTTACTTTTTCAGCACATCTCTCAATCAGAACACATCAATAGTCAAATGTTAAGCATGCTCATCGAAAAACCTTGTTTATATTTTGTGTTTTGGTCGATACATCATGAGATTTTTTAAACCCCCCCCCATAATACTGTTTAAATGACCTTTCACCACTACTCCTACACTTCCACAGGATTTCCCCCTTTTTACTTACTCTGGAAAACATGAGTCGTAGAGAAGAAACGTGTTTTTCCATCCGGATGCAAAACAGCAGCGAAAGGTGCAGGATGAGCCGCGGGTCTATGATTACTCTTTCTCATCTCTGATTGAGGAGCTGTCGACTTCTGACTGTCTGGCCTTGATTGATCTGAATTGAAGAGGGAAATAAGAAACGGTCAGAGCTGCAATCACAAACTAATGTGCAGGAAAGAGCAGGGACACGAATTTCAATGTTATTGATGTTGTAAAAGCCGCTGTGATCGTCGGTTGGGGCCGTTATGCAACACATTTCATCGTGTGATTTTTGATTGAGTTCTTTACAGGAAAACTGAAACCCTGGAGGCTGAATTGAACCCAATGCTGAACCTGAGGGGCACTGAAAAAAGCAGCTATAATTTCCTCTTTGAGCTAACTTGATTAGTTTTAAAGTGCCTCCCAGCCACAAATCTGAAGTTCAGCGGGTTCTCCGTGGCCTTGTTTGACCCTCTCACTGCAGGAGCACGTCACAACAAATATTCATTGATGTTTTAAGCCTGGTTTGGTCCAGTATTTACTGGTGTTTTGAACCTGGTTTGGTCCAGTATTAAATATCTGGTTTGGGAGAATATTTACTGGTATTTTTGGGCCTAGTCTGGTCCAGTATTAACATTTGTTAGCCCTGGTTTAACCTATTATATAGTGGTGTCTGAGCTCTTGTTTTATGTGTAATGCAGAAAAGAC